CGGTAATGCCCAGCAGCCTGGTCTTTTGTTCGGAGTACGGTCTTTTGTTACAGGGCCCTGTTTCCTTTGTCCGATTTCGGAGACCCCGGCCACACATATAAACCATACGGCTCCGATTTCGGAGTCCCCGGCTGGTAGTGGTTAACTTGTGTTTCTTCTAGTAAATCCACATGGGTCATAAATTTAGGGTCCCAGAGATGTGACATTTTTGCATCCCAGTTACAACCAATCTGGGAAATTGAACATGGAAATATTAAAATCAGTTTTATTTGTTTGGCTGGTAATTTGCATTGTATGATCTTGGAAATTGAAGAATGTGTTTTGAACATTGAAAATCATATTTCAGATGTGACAAGGATATTAAAAAAAAACTTGGACCCCAGAATTATAGAATGACTGAAATGCCAAGAAAAATGGTGTTAAAATTCCTTCTGATTTCTACTTACGTGTGGGAGTTGCCTGCCAGTATCATTACTTTTTAAGCCTCTATAGAAAGAGAAAAACTACTTTAAAGAATCTAGCATTGATTTGTCAATACAAGGGCTTTAATAGGAAAAAGACGTTGGAATAAAGCCGGAAGTTTGGTCTTTTGGGGAAAAATAGGGCAGTTCATTTAGTTTGTTTGTTTGTTTGTTTAATTCCAAATGCCAGAAGGGCATATTTAGGATAAGTTCAACCATGTAGCCAGATGCTGTTTAACAATGCACATGGTCAATTCAGCTACACACGAATGACCCTAGTCGGCCTATTTTTGAAAATCTCACCGTTACAGTTGACCATTGGCCATGAATCTCGCAACCAATGTGGTCATTGAAATCTCTAACAGCTATTTTCATATGAATGGTTCTCTCTGTTATGAAAAATGAAATTGGAGTGACCATGACCTGGGGCCAGGTTCCAAATAGTCAACAAGATAGTCCAAACCATCATTCTGGCAGTGTTAGTCAAACCATAGTTAAATTTATAGTCGTTGCTCAAACTTGCTCCAAATTTGCTCGCTGTTTACCTTGTCTGTGGACTTAGCTTCAGTTTGACAAACAACCCCAGAAAGTATCAACTGTAGGTCTTAACTCTAGCAATTACTGCCCTCTCCCTGTCTCCCCCAGAACCCCCAGAGTGACCTGCAGGCCCAGGATCGCTGCCACCGCATCGGCCAAACCAAGCCGGTGGTCATCTACCGCCTGGTCACATCCAACACCATTGACCAGAAGATTGTGGAGAGGGCTGCAGCCAAACGCAGGCTGGAGAAGATGGTCATCCACCAGGGTGAGTACAAAGTCCGAAGCCTACCCACTGGCCCAATTGGCAGGTCTTGTTTTTTCCAGAAATTTTTGTCATAGTTATCCGTGTCAACAGTGTTTTGTAGTCATACCATCTCAAAAAAAGTGTTATTTACATAACAGCATGGAAATACTGGAAGATTTCATTTAAACTGCAGTTTGCATCTACACAATTTAATTGTGGTAACTTTTAAAAATTTTGTCACAAATTTAGTGAGTACTTAAGTTTCAAATTTGAACAACAGAATATCATTTTTAAATCTTAAGTCTAGTTAATATAAAAAACTTCTTGCTTCTCTGAAAAAAGTTCAAACGGAAAGGTTTCTATAGTGAGAATGCTCGTATGCCTTCTGGAAAGCTTAGTTTTGAACAGATTTTCAACACTGATATACTAATGTTAAATGCTCGTGTACTAAACCCCCTTATGCCATCTGGAGTACGCAATGAAACCTGGTCTTATTTACGTCCTCTCCTTTGCTCCCCCCCCCTTTGATGTAACCCCCAGGTAAGTTCAAGGGTGGCAAGAGTAACTTGGCCCGGGACTCAAGCGCCCTCATCAACCCGGCCGAGCTCCTGGCACTGCTGCGCTCCACGGACCACAGCGGCTTTGTCCGCAACTGCAACCAGAAGGTGATCAGTGATGCCGACCTCAGGCTGCTGCTGGACCGCAGTGACCTGCTCGCCCGCTGGAAGAACCAGGAGAATGGAGCGGCTGCCGGCGCCGTTCCAAAGGCCGGGGCCAAGAAAGCCGGCAAGAGAAGCGCCACCCGCTCCAGCGTCTTCCAAGTTCTGGATGATGGGACGGGGGATGATGCTGGCGAGCTGAGGATTGGCACATGATGAGGGTATGTCGTGATGAGATCAAGCACAACTGAGAGTGAGCTTCTTGCCCAGCACTCGACAAACTAAAGTCCAGCTGGCACGGGCTGAGTTTTCAAGCACTGCCATAGAAGCATTAGTTTGGATGTGGTCGGAATAGTACAACGTGATTGGTTGTCAGGCAGAATTGCACATCTCTCCACTAACACCGTGCCCTAACTAGGTGTGTTGGGATAACCCCAGAACTCTCGGCTTGTCATCAAAACTTTGTACTACTGACTAGCCTGAGCTAGCTGGTATTTGAAATGTGAACTAGAGTTGAAATGAAAGAAATACTCACCTGTCCAAACCCCTCCCCCCCAAAAAAAAGGTACTTGCTTTGATATTTAGGTTTAGCCTTCCTTTTTTTGAAGTCATTTCGTATAAGTGTATTTCTTTATGGCAGCTGTACACTAAAAGATCGTTTTTTTGGAATTCTTGGTATGAAGCTGACCCGTGTGGTGGTTATTGCCGTATTAAGTCCACACACTGCCCACATTCTACCGCACAAGAGCCAGTGAAACAGTTTTATTTAGAAAAGCATTACTTTGCTATCATTTGGAACGTCAGTGTTGCCTTTAGAGAGAGGAAAAGCAAAACCTTGAAGGAAAAGATTAAATTAAGTTTTAATCAGTATATTTACCAAAGATGGGCCTTGCACTGGACTCCAAACAAGACTGAACTTCCACAATTAAAGTAGGAGATTTGAAAATGTCACAAGGAAGCGTGCCCAATGTCAAGTTCGGTCCTGTAACATAGGCAAAAACATTTTTTTTCCGTAGAAGGTTGAAGGTACATGCAATGCAGACAGCTAAAGATGCCTAAAAATGCCTTTGTCTAATCGGATACAATTTTCACCCCTTTTGGTGAGTTTCTTTGTTGTATTTTTTACTTTACAGTTAATTACTTTGCTTCTGCGCGTTCCACAGAAATATGTTAAAGTATTCTGATTATGTAGTTAACATGTAGTAACTAGAGCTCCTTTCGTACTCAAACCACTTGTTAGATTGTTAGTTGATACATATACATTATTTCATGATGAATTCTCTGTTGCCAAAAACTACCCCTGAAAGAGCCAGGGATTTTTGGACCATCTCGCAGCTGGGGAATCCCCCCCTTCCCAAACCTTTCCAGGCCTGATCATTTTCAAACTTTAAGCATGCAGGTATTAAGTCACTCATTGGTGTCAGAATTTGTCTCGTAATGACAACAAGATGTTACTGAAAAACTCGACCATTTCCTGCTGGGTGCTTTTAAAAATGCAATGCCTACATACAGGTGATTTAGAAGATTTTCCGTTTTCAACATTCTTCAAAAATTCATCATTTCATTTAGTGGACATAAATGACTGTCTGGTGGCTACTCTAATCTGACAAGTAACCTCCATTGATGCCCAAGTATTTCAGCCAGGCCTGCCGCCCAGCAAAAAGAGCCCAGAATTGTGAGGTGTTGCGTTATTTCCTTTGTTCCCAGTAAAAGCCAGTGGCGTCTTTTTAAATGTGGCTTGATAGCTTGCAGCGGTACTGTATGGCTCATCGATAGGGAGCTGGAGCACTATTGTCCATGGTGCTAATCCGCGGGCGTGCTGTGCCGAAAAAAAGCGATATACTGTTTCAAAACCTCCGTTAAGTGCAAGCTGAAAACTGAGGGCAATTTGCAGCAGCAGGTCTTTTGTTACAAGGTCAAGCTCTTTTGTCCAATTTTGGGAAGCCCGGCTATGCATACAAACCCAAGGTACCCGTATATAGTTAAAGCTCTTCACGACACAAATGTACTGTGACAATTTTGGAGAAAGAGTTGAGAGCAGACCCCCCCTCCCAGCTCGTTTAGGGTTAAACAAGATTTGTGCTGAGTGGTATTAAAAAGTATGACTCTTCCTTTCCAGGTCTAAAAATTTATGGTTAAAAAATTCAAAGTTTTCCAATTTGAATTTATCTCCATATCAGTCAAATACTTTTAAAACCGCTCACTTCCCAATGTCTCCCTGCCACCTTAACATGATGAGCGGATCAGCATTCCTTCTAAGCTGTTAGAGTTGCATTGAACATCAAGGGGTTTCTGCCAGATGCCAAAGCAATTGATTATTCCATCATTCCATTTTCAAATATCTGGCCTGTGTTTTTCACTTACTAGTTATAGTACAGCTTCACGGATATTTGAAAAGAAAACGTTGCCAACTGTTAACAGGTCATATTTATGTATTCATTAAACTTTCATGTTTCGAAATGTAAATAAACCTTTCTCTGTGTATATTACAAGGAATTCCACCTTGTGTTTCAAGTACCTGTGAGTTTTTAATAGTTGGTTTTAATTTCACTGCCGCCCCTGTTTTTTTCAGCCAACTTTTTTTTAGCTTGTCCATTACTCCTGAATCACATAATCTGCCCAATATCTCCATCCCTTGTCAAACGTTGGTAATTACGTTAATACTGCACCTCCATGTTTTGCACAGTCATCAGGGATGGGTGAAATTGACTAAGTATAAACCTAATCTTTATATATAACAAATGAGCATCTTAACATTGGGGGAACCCGAGTGGCTCAACAGGTTAGGATTCCGCCTCGTGATGGAGAACCCTCTCCCAAAGCAGGATCAAACCCCAGCAGGGACAACAAGCTAGCTGAATGAGCTAGCTTGGAGAAGAAGTTTTGCTTATTTTACATTCTAAAATTAGAACATTTAAAAAAAACTGACAACTGCCCACTCCAGGATTTGAACCTAGGACCTTCTGGTTGAAAGTCCAGCATCCAACCAACCAGACCACTAACTCTTCTTAACTAACATGTGTTCGAACTTAATCTTAAACATAAAAATCAGGAATATGGGTTAAAAAAAAAACAACTCCTCCCAAGGCTTGAACCTTCAATCTTATGGTTCAGAGTCCAATGTCCTAACCACTGGGCCACTCATGCCTCTTAGCAAGCATGTATTCTAACTTAATGTTAAACTTAAGGATTGTAAATAAAAGTAAAAAAAAAAAACTGGATTAAAACATCAAGTTCTGGACTCAGAATGCCGTGTACTATCAACTGTATCACTCCCTTTTTAGCAACTTTTTAAACTCGAGGTAATGTTATTTTAAAAAGGCAACAGAACCAGCAGGAGCTGCAAATAGACAACATGCATTTCTAAAGCAATTCTAAGAACTGAACCATGTTGCGTACACGGTAAATTATAAAATAATGTCAGTTGAAAAGTATTTGAGAGAGCAAGTTCTGAAAATCTACTCTATGAAGATCCAGGATATTCCAGTATAAAGTTGTACAACATACATGTATAGTGAATAGGCAGGCTGTGATTTTTTTCCCCTTTTTAATGCAAAATCTGACGAAAATATTTCTACCAGATAATTTGCCCGTTATGAAAGGCGTTATGTTATGCATTTTGTCACACGTAAAAAAAACTAAAAAAGACTATCCAACGAAGCACATTCAGGAATGAAATGGTTATGGTATAAACAATCTTTTATTTTGAGAAATCACTGATTCATTAAAATAATACAAATCTAAATTTTTTGTCTTTCTAGGGATTCTACAATATCTCCAAGTTTCGAGTTGGTATGGGGTGTAGGAAAAGAATTGGAATTTTGTTTTGAAATGATCGCGAATGTTATCTAAAAGAATCAAAGAAATGTAGTTCTGTTTCTATGGGCCCTGATCAAGAGAGGGCGCCATTTTCCCAGCAATGACAACTCCTTTGGTAGGATACTTCCAACTATTACAACATTATGGATTACTGTGAGATTGACATTTTGAAAACAGGTTTCAACCCGAATGGGGGGGGGCATTAAAAACCTATGTTACACAATAGGAGTCAACTTGTGACTCGCTGTGCCAAACTGAGTTTGATTATAGGTGACACGGATGGAAACCATATGGGTTAAACGTCTTTAATTTCAATTTGGTAAATCATTTCACTGCAATTCTAAGCATGTCATTTCCCAGATTACTCCAATTTCTTTGTACAGTACATTAAAATAAAAAAAAAAAGTAACGAAACAGAAAATCCCAAAGTGGATGAGTTATCTATCTATCCTTTTCTAAGCCATTTTTCCAATACTTGACATCGTCTCCATCTAACGCTTTGTCTATCAAATTAATCCCCGACTGCGAGCCTAAAACATTCAAATTAGCTCTTTTGCAAGTTACGTGATGTTCCTTTGGCACTACTTTACTTACTACTGAGCTATTAACTTCAAAGTCAGTAGTTAAAAAAACAAAGATCATAGATGGAAAAGCCTGAAACAGATATGAAGTTGAGTACTGGAAATGGTCTCAAACCTGATAGAAGGAATATGCAATGTGAGGTAATCTGACACATCACATTGGATACATGTACATGTAGGTCTTTTAACAGCTCTTCACCTCCTGAGTGTGGTAAACTAGAGGGAATACCTGTGTTCACTTACAGTCTATACACAGCCTTGGCAAATAAACACCAGGAAATAAAAATCCTACGAAATATGCACAGCCACCTGAGGGTGCCTTTAAGCTTTTTGTATTTGTACAAGTAGTAACAATTAAAAACATTGCAACGAATTAATTCCTCAATTTGCAAAAAAAAAAATTCAAAGCTAAAACCTTTACACTAGCCTTGATTACCCACGACATTTTTTAAAACATGCATTAGCCATTGAAAAATCCAGATGTACAAAATGGTGACAAAAAAAGGTTTATAATATGAGCCAATATATGGTGCCCTCAGGCGGCTGTGCATAAAGCCATCATACCAGACCTTTCAGTTTCTTGTAGAGCTTCCTGGCCTCATCCCAGAACAGGAGGCTCAGGACCGTGTGAGGGGCAGTCCGAAACCAGGACGCTGACCAGCCTTTGTAGAAGCCAAAGAGCCCCTCCTTCTTGTAGATCTTGGCCAGGCAGTCGGCAAAGCCGCTGTAGTACACGCCCTTCCCGCCGGTGTCCAGGCCCTGGTTGTACAGCCGTGTACTGATGACGTCGAAGGGCGTCATGACGCACACTACTGCCACGCCGCTGGCCATGCTGGCGAAGAGCGGGACGGCGACACTTTGGGGGTGGAAGAACTGGGGACAAAGCACATACGAATGGGCTCAGTCACCATCAACAATTCACCAGTTTGCCAGTTTACCAATTTAGACATTTCAAACAGTCGAATATGAAAGTTCCAACATAGAATAACAAATTTTGGCATAAAACAGGCATTTTACACAGAAAGGTCTCTATCTTTAAAACTGAGCTTGCAATAACTCATGTGCCTGATTTGGACACACTACATTGCCCATGGAAAACAAAGAGTTTACACTGGCCTTAACTTTTTTGGGGTGTTACAGAGAACAAGTACTGTATTAATTACTTTGTAAACTCTTGTCACTTGCTCTCCAGCTCAAAAGCAACTGAGCAATGGCACCACTCAATTTCTGCTGGCCACTTACATTCGTTTTTAAAACCATTTCTTTAGAAGTTGAGAATGTCGAGAGCTGTGCAGCCGAGCCGAAGGACACCCGCACCATGGCAGCAGTGGCCCCCCTCCATAAGCCGGTAACTCCGCCCTCGCGGAAGATGTGCAGAACTGCAGCTGTGAAGCTGGTGTGCTGGTGTTGGTAACCCACAGCTATAACGCTGTGGGACTGCGCCTGCAGGTGTGTTTTTACCTGAGCGTTGAAAGGAAAACTCGCCACAATAAAATATCAAATTAACACGAGGTACAAAGAACACCTTAATCATCTTAAATGGTAGCTACAATCCATTTTTTTCAATACAAACCTTCAATATGCACCACTGTGTCTCGGTTAACCTCATTTTCAACTTTTGTTTCACTATATCAATGGGGTAGTTTACTGCCTTTTTGATTTTTATGCTATTTCCATATTCATCAGCATGAACTGTGATGTCATCTCAGGAAGAAAGCCTCAATGTTACGTTGGTTTTTACCCCAAAATCCTGCATTTTTGTAGATTTTTCCGGACTCAGTTTTCTCTTCTTTGCGGATGCATCATGGTTTACATGCATACATGTAGCAATCGGAAAGCGTCAATCCTCTCAGAAATATTTTCAGTTAGTAAATTCTGGGTTCCAAATTTGAACAGAAAAGCGAGGGTACTCTTATGTCTTCCCTAGATAACTTCACGGCAACAGCGCCCTCAGTTGTCTACATGTAGGAAAGGATGGATAATTTTAACCGTTTTAAAAAGTGCACTTTTCAATGCATTTAACAAAATAAGAATGTAAAAGAGTTTTCATGTACTGAAGAAAATTACACAGTTGAGTTAAAATGTGCCTGACAAAAATCCCTTACAGCTATGTACATGTGTACTTTCTCCAACTCTGTACTACAGTTGTACCAAAGTCTGCGGCAGGAATTGGACCAGCAATCTACAGCACTAGGTCCCTTTCAGTGAACCATCCAGCCTTGCATAGACCTTGATCAATCAGAACTGTTGATGTCTTTGCAATGCCTATGATCAATAATACATGTACATATGCAGGTTCCTTGTCAACATTCGGTGTAGGTCTGTCCATCAGTTAACTAAAACCAAACTTGGACGGTCAGTGTTTGCCTGTTCTAAATTTACAAGCCCCTAATTTGGGTTTTACAATAATCTCTAACACTGGTGAACTATATGTCATTTTCACATGTCCTCAGATTATTTATTTATTATATCTGTTCATCCAACAGCGCTCTTAATACCAACTACAGGATGAAGTGACAATGAAGAAGACAATAAACAAACGTTCAGTTTTGAGGTGCAAGGAAAACCCCAGACAAATATTCCTGGGAAAACCCAAGGAATTAGGTTGGGACTGAAAATCCAATCAACATGCTGACCTAGGCGGGATTTGGAACCTGGGTCGCAGTGGTGGAAAGCGAGGAAAGAGCCACTACACCAACCTGACTCCCCTTATGGCCTAAGAATACAATAATTAATGTCAGGTTTAAACTTATTCTGGTAAAAGACCGGCAGTTTTTAACCTTGGCTGGGAAGGGACTGTACCAGTAGATATTAACAATCCTAGATGAAACCCTATCATCCATTTGAAAGCCCCTGATTACATGTAATTCCCCCATTAAAAACACTACTAGGTGAACAAAAAAGCAGACCAAAAGGCAGAAAAATCACAGAATATAACTGTCAATCAATTTTTAGCTTACATGTATAAAATGTACTGCTCTATTTTAAGACTTATTTCATGACACCCTACAGTATGTAAAAAGGCTACAGTGTGATCCGTCCTATGGAGTGTTCTATTATGAATGGTGTGCTCCACTACTAAATTGCTACATGTAACTCACTTCTCACTGCTGTACTACCTGTTTAGTTCATTCTGAGAAAATTGAAAGAAATACATTCTTTCCTGGGACTTTTCTGTTCTTGTCTGCTTCTGGAGTCAAGATCTTTCCATTTCCGGTCCTTACCATATAGAAAGGACTGCTGATAAATGCCCCCGTGCAGCCTGCAAATGCCCCTGCCGCCACGCTCCGCAACACGCTGACTTCCCCCTTGGCATTCCTGGTCAGTCCCAGGTTGACCAGGCATTGGTAGCTGCCCAGCCGCACCCCGTTCATGAAGAGCTGGTACCAGAGGGCAGGCACCAGCCCCTTCTGCAGCGCCCGCAGCCCGTCCACCCGGCCGATGGTGTAGAAGGCGTGGAAGACGTGGCGGTAGTGCCGGTGGTAGGTGCCCCGGGCCTTTAGCTCCCCCTGCAGCTGCATGCGCGTCTTGACCACCTCCAGAGGGTTGCTGAAGAGGCAGGCCCCGCAGGCCGCCACGCCTCCGAGGAAGAACTCGGAGACATTGGCGCTAGACATGGTAGAGTTGCAGCAAGCCTGACATGTCTGAAATTAACCAGACCACAACTCAATTCTAAAAGCTTTCTTCCAACTTTCTGTATGCAGAGGGTTTCCCCCGATAGTCCTCAGTTGTATTTGTAAGGCTCAGTTAAAGTTAAAGTAAAAGTTTCTTGTCAGCCAATAAGTTTTTTATTCTTTTTCAATCACTTATGGCTTGAATTGATTTAACGACAGATTTTTTCTCCCTTTTTTTCAATAAAGAAGCTGGCAGTCTCTACAGCACTGGAGTTTATCCATATTAAAGTCTTTCCAATCCACATCATCTTGTCAACTCTTTTGTACATTCATCCCACATTTATTCTCTTACTGAGAATGCTTGAGAATTTTTGGGTTCAAGATATTTTTTTTGTATTATTATATTGTTTCCTTTTACCGTTTTCACAAAGAGATTTTTGTTACTTAAAAACAAACTTTCACCAAATAATTAATACATTGACCGATTAATCTGGCTATAAAATAATAGCCAAGGGACTACGAAGAAGCAGACATTTTTTCCTTTAAAGATGGCACATTAATTTGCCCAGGGTGTATGGCAGATTTTCGCGACTCTTGCTTGTTGTGTCAAAACTGAGATTTTATGTATCAAGTTTAACATCAATTAGTGTTCAATCCAAGAGATCATACATGAATATTATCTTTATGCATACTATTTCCAACATGAGAAAAATTATAGCGAAACAGAGCTCAATATGCATGTTGACAGCCTTTAAAACTGAATTAATTCCAATATAAACTAAGTTACTCTCAAGAGAAAAGCAGTTCTTTAAGGAACTGAATACAGCAGGGAATTGATTAAAATTTACACCCACAAAGCCACAACAATGTGTACATAAAAATATGTGTGTACATGTAGCCTTTTGTAGGGCTGGCCAAAATAATACACGTACATGTTTCTTCATCCTAAAAAATAGCTTGTGGTGAAAAAAGAAAAAAACAAAACAAACAACAAGAACTAAGGGATCAAGGTTTTGAAACCAAACCTACATGTAACCGTGCTAACAGTTAAAGCTGCTTAACAGATTTTGTTGTAAGCAGATGATAAGCCCACACATGTACATGCAGAATTGCAACAACCAACTCATTAAGTCAGACAGAGAGCTAGAGAGGGAGGGGGGACAGGGGGAGATGTGACTGGGGAGTAACAGGCGGGGTGCTGTGCTGTGTAACTCACTGTGACAGATTGCGAGACTTAGAAATTCCCCGCCATCGAAACTGGTCAAACCAAGACGCAGAGCAAGTGGGGTCATTGGTCTTGACTCATGCTCAATATGATGAACACAAGAGGCATGAACGGAGCGATCGTCGCCAGATGGAAACGAGAGATTGGTGAGCAAAAATCTCATTTTCTTAAAAAATACTATGTCTCATGCTCTGGAACCTTGCTCATCCCTTTTTAAGAGCTACAATTTCACTCAGGTGTGCTGTCAGGGAAAATTTGATTTAATACTATTAAATGGGTGAATGATTCGCACAAGTAACAAGCTATTAATAACTACATGTAGCTTGTTACACCTGCGAATCATTCACCTATCAAGTTCGATTCCAAAAACCTGAAAACCCATAGGCCTTGTCCTGATACTGGTGATAGTGTTATGACACCATGTAGGCAGGCCTAAACTGTATTGACTTGAAGTCACAAGGAGTAAGACGGAGTAGTGACTTTAATCATGACCGTCACCATGCCATCCTTATCGCTATGACACTAATACTGCAAGAGTGGTTTTGCACAAAAGTAGCAGTACAAAGGCATCATGGGAAGGAAAAGGGCCAAACATCCCCTTTTCCCTTCCCATAATGCCTATAATAAAGAGGGATATGAAACTCTTTCCTGGGCCGTTTTCCAATACTCAGCTTTGTCTACGTCTCAGGCTTCGTTCAAAAACCAATCCCCGACTGTGGGCCTAAAGCATTTAAATTACATTAGATTACTGTAATTTTTGGCTTTCTTGAATCTTGTTTGATGTTCTGTGGCACTATTAGACTGATTAGTGCGCTTACACTTTACAGCTTCAAAGTCAGCTAGTAAAAAACAGTTGAAGCCTCAGACGGAGCCGAAGTTGAGTATTGGAAAACGGCCCAAGCTTTGTCTGGACATAACGGTCTAACCACTAAAATGGCGTTTGATAAGTGTATTCTTTCGCTGAAGAAAAACCAAAAAAAGTCTTTCAAAACAGCAAACTCACCCCTGTTCAAGCCACAGTTCTCCTACCCCCAATCTCACGTGTCTTGATTTCGCAGGCAACCTGCTGATCCTACATAAAATTTATGTACATGTACACCGCCCTCAATTGTTCACCTAAATTGAGGAGGAGAGGCGGATCCGAGCATAACACATGAACCCGTTTTATTGTATTGGGGGACTGTGAAGGTGGGGTTTTATTTCCAGTTACAAATGTTTTTCTCTTCTTTCGCATGACTATTGTTTACTTAAGTGATGTGTCCCATTATCTTACTAAATGTTTGCTGTTGGAATTAAATGAAAAATTTTCCCAACGCGGTCGTTTTCGGCCCGTCTTGACGTAGCCGGACGTATTTTTGGGGGGGGGGGGGTTGAATTAAAATTAATCCGATACGGAACCCCACGAAGCAGAATGATAACAATGGAGCAGATCGTGACATGGCCTCAAGATCTTACTTTTGTTGCTTTTTTTTCTGTTGCATGACAGCAAAGATTCCGTCTGAGCTGCACCGATGTTTACTCAAGGAATCGTCCATAAATTGATGCAACTTTGGTGACTTTCAACACAGTTATTACTTAACAAAATCGAGTCTGTTTTCGACCGGACATAATTTCAATATCGAAGTGTTTTATTGCATAAAAAGAAGGAACATGATCAATGTGAAACGAAGCGACGGAACACATGCATTAAACCTACATCTATTTTGTTTTGAAATAAACACTGCATCTAAATCGAGAAGCAGCACCTATGAGCAGCGCCTATAGCGTACCATTATACGGATGGGAACAATTATTGATTCCTCCAAAATAGCCAAGTCAGCCCGAGTGCCAAGATTATTTTTGTTGAAAATCTTCACGTGAGAACGCACTAACGAGTTGCAAAGTATACAGTATTGTTTTTTTTTTCATGAGCTTGGCTATTCTAATGAACCAAATGTAAAATTTGGAGACCAGGCTTACATGCATTTCCCTCAAACTCGGCTTTCTTCGTGCCATGAAAGACTTCAAAGTCCGCTATTTTTTGTGTGTGTTTGGGGGGGTACTCTTACGTTCATAATAAATGTCATTGAACCTCTGCAAACATTTCTAAGGGAGGAAAACAAACAAATACAACTTAGAAAATTTAATTTCAAAGTTGAAACAAAGTCTTCTCAGGTTGGCAAAATACTTTGTTTGGTTTGTTTTTTCTGAATTGCCTTTCACCTCTGCAGCCTGGGTTTGATCCCGGCTTGGGCCTAAGGTGGATTGGGTTTTCAGTCCGTACAAACCTGATTCCGTGGGTTTTACCCATACTTTTTTTTCCCAGGGGGTTTCCTCCCACCTGTAAAACTGTAACTGCTCCTTATTGTCTCCTCTATGGAGATAGGTGGATGTGGGTCGTTTGGCAGTTGCTTGATGAAGCGCCCTTGTACGCCATCGACTAGACCACGTTTAATTACCTTCATTGTACAGCGCATTTGAACGTGACTGTGTAAAAGTTGCCCTTTATAAATTAAGAACTTGTTATCATTAGTGAAATGTTTTCATATTGCGAATTATTAGGATATAGATATTTTTGGGGGTAGGCTCAATAAGGGACCCCCCAAATTGGAAGTTCTTTGTGTAACCTTTTATTGCCTATAAGCCCTCAAAATTTAGCCTCATCGTTCATATGGACAATAAAAGGTACAGGAAAAAGCTGTTCTTCCTATGATAAAAAAGTACGATGGCCCCTATTGGCCCGGGATTCGCCAGGATTATTGTTAATAGTGTAGCTGATGCACCCCACTTTCCATGTGCTAAAAAGTTAGACAGTAACTACTTTACCACATTTCTAGTACCAAAAGAAAAGAAAAAAAATCAGAACAAAACTAAACCAAGGTAAACAAAAAAAAACAACAAAAGCAAAAGGCAGACAGACATTATTGGAAAAAATCATGCGAGTCGTCGAGTTAGTTTCGTTTAGCCGGAAGAGGTCTCCATCGATGCTGGGAAGTTTTAACGATCGACTAGGGATAGGTCCACACATGCTGTGATATGCTGGCCGCCAGTGACATCACTGACAGTCACTCGGTACCGGACCAGGTCAGCATTAGACACGCAGTCGGAGAAATCCAAGGTAAGAGGCAATGCCAAGTCTTGGGAGAAAATAGGAAACAGAGAAAAACTAGTAACCCTTTTCGATGATCAGAATAAATGAGTAATTAATATCAGTTCACTGGCTTCAGAAATCCATGCTCACTTTCTGCAGGGGAACTTGAGTAACTGGCACACGTATTTTTTTTCAAATGTTAAACTTCAGAACAGATAACTCAGGTGAAATGTTAAAAAACTGCTTTGGGAACAAAATGTCAATCTCATGCTCAACGTAGTGACGGTTTTTATGAGCATGATATGTGCAATATACAGTGTTGCTGTAAGTTACGCACATCAAAAGTAGTTTCCAGAGGGCTCCTCACCTTGCTGAGATGCCGCATAGAGCACATTGAAATTCATATCCGTGACTTCGATTCGAAGTTCGGGGCTGGAGGCGTTGTTATACTTGACACTGATCACTGTGGGAAAAGGAGGAAACAAGGGGAGTTGGTAGAGTGTTAGTGACCAGCCGCAGATCCAAGGAGGCCGGGGTGGATTGTGCCAGTCTTCCCCTGTAAAGTTAGACACACAGAGAGAGGGAGTGTACCCCGGGGGGAGGGGGTAGCTTGCAAATCAAGACAAATTATTTCCCGGGGTAACGTGGCCCCAAGCTAGTCCGAGTATTCTGGACCCCACAAATCGCCTTTTTAACATTTGGATGGTGGTGCGATGGTAGTCCAAACATAGGCTTTCCATCCCATCATTTCACCGAAAATAGCTCGTGCCCCGAATCAAAATCCTTCGAATTCAACTCGAATTCAACTCCAGAACCGTCCTTAAACTGCCTAATGCCTCCGGCTTTGGATTAAGCAAGAATCTCAGTCTCAGTGCAATAGTCTGAAGAAAGCTGTGTGCGTATATTTATACCTTAAGAAAAGCGACGCGGACAAAACAAGTACAATCCTTGTTTGACACGAAAAACCTCTCTACCTATTTTATTTTAACGGATAATGTTATTTTTTGTCGGCAAACCTTAATAAGTTTTCTTTATAAAGCGAAACACATGAGCAAAATATAATGAGTGCATGGGGGACAACAAACAAGTTTAATCAAGTACCAGGGAGCCGCGCATACGTGGGGCTGGGGACGTCATTCCCGGGGGACAATATTCTAATAGAGACCACTGTCTCCGTTATGCAAGGCGGACAAAATAGCCTGGGACAAAGCGTTCCGGTATAGACACAATATCCCAGACAAGCCGGGCGTTTTAATGCAGGGGCATGGCTGGGGTGAGCAACCTGTTAGGAAACTTTCAATCAGCACTCCATGGGTGTCTATCACCACCCACTGCATTTAAAAAGTGTAAAACATGTTTCACAACACAACATCATAACAATGATACTCACGTCTGGTTCCGTTGAGGACTTCGTACGAGCAGATGCTTCCATAGCACCACCGATAACGCTCATCCAGGTCATTCAAATTTCCTTCACACTCTGTCAACCAAAATTAAATTACAGGCATGTAATTCATCGGTGCATCACTTCACGAAATGTTGCAGCATCATGAGTCAACAATGCCATCAAAACGACCCCCCCAATGTGAGAAAAGTGACGTTAGAGGTTTGCTGAACTGCAAAGACTCACCTGTTTGTATCGGCGCTATGTCCTCCAGCTCATGAATTAAACGTTTAAACAGCTCCGTTTCCAACACTCCCTGATCCTGGAAGAAGCAGAACCGTTATTTAATATTTGAGCAAACCACTAAAATCACAGAGTTCGCAGCTACTCCAATCGGAAGAGGTCACTTGCTCGCTCAAAAATAATTGTTGGTTACATTTAGACAGCGAGCACGCCTGTGGGATTAGATTTCAGCTTCACCTATGTAACAGTTTAATCTTTTTTGTAATGGTGTTCTGTTTGACGTTAGGTGAGGGATTCCAATGGTCGGGGAGGAAATAAAAGTATCGCTGTACAGTTCTACTTGGAATGTTGGACCTCGTCTTTCCCATCAAATTGAATTGAAACAACATCAAAGTGGAAAAAAGTAATAGCGATAATAGGCCTAACCTTATACGGAAGAGCAGATACGACCTGAATCAGGATCAGGCACAGACCCAGCGATATCATCAAGAAACGAGACATCTTCAAGTTTCTTCAGGGTTGCCTGAGCTTGTCTTACTGAATAAATTTTCCCTACCGACGGACAGCGTGAACGTCTCTCAGTACACCGTTGCAAATACTGCCAGTCCTTTCTCGTATTACGGTATGCATTATGAACAGAACAGTGGCCTTTCGGCAGTTTGTTGTCACGGTGCAATGTTGCGTGACATTGGCCTATGCAAATTATCAAGTATCACTTCTGGCAGGGACACTCACCAGCTCTCAAAAGCTCGTTTTTGTGTGTGTTTGATGCATGTTCTTTATATTAAAGTGAGAGAGTTCACTTTTTGAAAGCCAAAGTAAATAGCTGGCATTTGTTTGACAGTTTTTTGTTTGTGTGTAGGTGCAGGGTGCAGGAGTTCGTGCAGTCTGTAAAGGCATTGTTGAGTTACGAGCCTCAAGGGCATGCAATTTAGAAACAGCCGAGTTGTGCTGCTTACTCAAGTTGAAGCTGTCATTGGGATGATAGGCTGTTGTTCAGTCTGGACGAAAATGACGCCACAGTCATTTGGATTTCGATATTCTGCTGTGAATAGCCTTGATCAAGGCGTTGGGCGATGATTTTGACAACCCCACCAGGTTTGCTTTTAAACACGTACGGTACATTGCACTCGGGCCGTTATGTTTGGCGAGTGACAGCGAAGCCATTGCGCCACTCTCAGCTTGCTCAGCACAACTCATTACGCTAACGAAGGGCGCACCCGGCCCTAGCGAGAAATGGATGATATCCGGTTAGTGAGGGACTTCATCACATAGGTGGCCGTGGACGCGCCACACTCCCAAGCTCCCATTGGACAATCGCTGAAGTTGCGCGTCAACTTCCGGTTCCATGGTTCCACGTTAACGGCGATCAATGCATGTAACTCTATGTGCCGTGCATATGCTGTGGGCATGGGTGAAGCTGAAGTGATGTCACACTTACGAACCTGATTGGTCACAGTGTGTGACGTAACAGTTATCATGATACGGACAGCTGACGCACGTACATCTACGTCGTGGGGTTATAGG